TGCACTCACAGGAGAGCAACTCCTGGCAGCCCTGCGAGCGCTCCAGCCAAGCAAGTCCGCGCCTCGGCATCTAGCACCTAACGCTGCGTGGAAGGGACTCGCTGAGCTCTTAGCACCCAAACTGCGAGGCTGGTACGAGGAAAGAGGATTGCTGGCTTCCGCGCCTCTGGACCGATGCATGGATTGTGTGGTTGGCAAAACCAAACAAACCACCGGACAAGCCGTCAAACCTCCGCCCGATTGCCCTTCAGGACGGAGGTGGCAAGGCGGTGGCCAAGGCTATGCAAAAGGCAATCTCCCCCTGGATTCACCAGGCGCTCCTCCCACATCCGCAGTTCGCCTATTTGCAGGGAAGGCTGCTTGAAACTGCGGTCTTGCGGGCGGTGAGACACTGTCGGAAGGCACGTGATCTTCTCTCCGCGGCTTCGCCTAAGAGGCATCGAGGCGCCCAAACTGTTGATTACTGCGGCAGCGCAACACTGTCCTTGGATCTCTCTCAGGCCTTCGATCGAGTGGACAGGCCCAAACTGCTGACCTCCTTGAAGCGTACAGGTATGCCTGACAATTTGATAAAGTCAGTCAGGCACTGGCACGATCAAATCCAATACCATCTTCAAGTGGGCGGCCAGGAGGCCACAGTCAGATGCGGCAGAGGCCTAAGGCAGGGGTGCGCAATGTCACCCACTTTGTGGGTGGCGGTGACTGGAGCTATACTTCAGGTGTTGGAGGAGGCAACGAGTTCCGATGGGTGCGAAGCCTAGTAACTCTTTTCGCAGACGATGTTCTCGAAAAGTGGGAGTTTCACGCCGAATCAGACCTAGAGTGGTTCCTGTACTGCATCGGTATGACCTTTGAAATACTTGAGGAGTTCGGGATGACCGTGAATCCCGGCGAGGCAAGAAGGGAGGAAAGTGGATTAAGCAACGGACACGCCGAGTAGACGACAAGCCCGTCTTCATTGCAAAAACGCCCCAAGGTAGAGTGATTCATCTTCCGATGGTCGAACAGATCAAAGACCTGGGAGTTATACTGTCTTCTGGGATGTTTGAGCGGACCACTGTGCGACACTGTATCAAATGTGCTGAAACAAACTGACACCGGCTCCAACATGTTTTGCAGGGTAAGCACAGACTTTCGGTTGCGCATAGACTCAGGATATGGCAAGCATGCGTAATGACTTCCATGCTGCATGGTGTGGCGGTAACGGGCGTTACACCGCACGAGCTGCGTATGCTCCGGTCGTGCGTGGCCAGACATGTCCGAGCGATTGCATCTTGCCCGGTTCACCTGACCAGGGAAAGCACTGCTCACCTCTTCCAAAGGCTGAAGGTTCAGGAACCCCATGTCCAGATTCAACATCGACTTACGAACATCGTGCAGCGAGTGAATTCCAGCGACGATCCAATGATCAACGACCCCAGCCTTGGAGTACTGCTAGGAAGCTCGGGGATCAGCTGGACTATGCAGTAGGACATTGGACGGTTTGGCAAACCCAAAGAAACTCACACGACATGCAGGAAGACAGGGTAACAGAGGATGTCCAGGTGGGACACGCAATAGGTCAGATGGTTAGCACTAGGGTCGGAGAAGCGACATGTTCATTCCTATGCCCGGAGTGCTTGCTGGCATTCCCCGACATCCCGGCGGTCAAAAAACACCACAGAACGGTTCATGGCAGACCTCTGGACAAACTCGCGGGACAGGTGGACCGCGAAAAGTTCGGCACGGGCGGGGACCCTACTTGCAGATACTGTCAGCAGGCTTTCACAACGTGGCCCAACTTGGTTAAGCACATTCATGATCGTAGCTGCCCTGGGCACTGGCAACACATACAGAACACGTTACCCTGTGCTAGCTTCAAAGCACCTAAGGAAAGTCATAGGCTCGACGACACAACTATGCACCCGAAGGGAGGTCATACCCAGGGGGAGGACCAGAGCCCTACCCATCACCCTGAACATCAGGCCGCGCTTTACGATGAGCGGCTCCGTTCTCACCTAGACAAGCACGGCTGGCCCGCCATTGTTGATAACACCGAGATTTGTGCCATGGCGGGCCAGCTCGCGAAGAGGATCAGGAACAGACCATGAAGGACATGCTCCGAATGCTCGTGAGGCACGACCAGGCCATAAATCGAATCAGCATGGATACCACAATCCTGTTCACCTTCATGAACAAGCCCAACCCAGGGTAACGATTCTCCACTGCCTCATGGCCGAGTTGGAGGCAAGGGTTCAAGCAGTGGCGGCGGAGCCACAAAGGATCGACATCTGCAAGAAGCAGGGATGGATGACTCCCGAGGGCTTATGGACGACGTTAACATGGCAACCATCGACAGAGACCTTGGTCCCCGTGGAAAAGTCGGGCACCTCCCACGACAACCTCCTAGAGGTCATCAGAGAGGTCAAAGACATTCGCTCCGCGAGGGAGCGCTGTATCGATTCCAGGCAAACCGGCCGTTGGCAGAGGAGATGACCGGCCACCAGATCACGTTCACAACTTTACGATTCGATACTGAAGCTGGCCGGCGTGTCAGCTCTACAGCTGATTGCGCTCAGGATTCACCGCCCTCGACTCCAGCAGTCGGCGCTAGCCACGACCCTCCAAGAAGCGTGGAGAAAGTACGTGCCCTCAGATTGCATAACCCCCATAATCTGTGTTACGCCAACTCAGTAACAGTAAGTCTGCTCTGGATGATGGTGCAGCACCCGGGTGAGCTGGACACAGTGTTGGGGCACAGCACAGGCGCTCAGGTCTTAATGTCGCTGCTGCAGTCTAGAGGCCAGCCCCTATGCTTGTTGCAGATGCTTACGTGGCAACCAATATGGCGGGACTGGAGAAGGCCTACCCAACAGCACGATGCACATGAGTTTTTTGCGCATATCCAAGACAGAATCAGCCTGCCAGGTTTTGACGAGACTGGGGGGCCAGACTTGACAGTGGAGGTTCCCATATGGTGAGGGATGGGGGCACCATGCGACAAGGAGTTTCCATTTCTGTCCCTCATAACCCTGACTCCCTCAGCAACTGTATCAAGGACTGGTGCCTCCAACCGCAGAAGCATGCCCTTGTCACCTCCCCCGAATGGTTATGCATACATCTTCTCAGATTCACCAGCCTCCCAAATGGAGGCCCCCAAAAACTGGAGACGGCCATATACTTCCAGGCGGGGGAGATTATCCATGTTCCGCTCTTTGCAACCGGAAGCTCACTTTTATGGATCCCATACCGGATAATGGCAGGGGTCACGCATGCTGGCCCGACACTTCAGGCCGGACACTATAGAGGCTTCTTGAGTGAGGCTTCGCCGGGGAGGGGAAACCCAAATGGGTATCGGTTCAGGATCACTGATGATAATGTGCCATCCAGGATCGCCAGTGCAGAACAAAATCGCATCCTCAGTCATCAGTGCTATATGTGCTTCTTACTCAGAGTTTCAGGGGAACCTTCACAGTGATCCCGGCTGGGGGTAACGGCTAGCGGACTTCCGCGCCGTGTATCGACCGGACGTTTCAGGGGTCAGCAGCCGACAAAAGAGTGGGCGCGCCAGCTTCCTGTCGTTTCATATGCCTCAGCATTACTACGAACCAGGAAGCGTCTCAGCTTGCATCGCCTAGGGACACGACCAGGTTCGCACACCTATCTGGCCGGCTCACCTCCTTCTCTGGTGATCCCCTGAAGGCTTGTAATAACTCGGCCTAGTGGCGTTCCGCCCCGACATTCGTTGACTTTTGTCGTCCTTTTTCTCAACTTTCCATCCCGGGACATCAATCACTCACTGTACATACACCATGCCAAATATCGGAGAAGCGGATTCCGCCTCCATGCGCTGAATGGTAGCTTGTAGCTTGTTTGTTCCTCTACACGTCTGGGCGCCGCCGTTGTAAAGAAGGCGTGGGAGGAGTTTTGAACGTTGTGCAAAGGAGCAGATTGGACGATGTTTTCTGCTCGGAATCCCCATACTGGCTGTGAGGCCCGCAGGCACACGTGCCGGGGTCGCTCTATTTTACTCCCGCTGCAGCACGCTGCGGGGAGGTTCTTTTGAGGTTGCCATCATGATTGGCCGCATCTAAGATGTGCATAGCCGCGCTAGGCGAGACCCAGACTTGCTGCGTTCGCAAAGCAAAAAATGTCAGCAAGGCTCCCCGAAATAAAGTGGTTGAAGCGCACCTCTACGTGCTTTGCCCATCGGCGCAAGTCTCGCATTAACGCATTTGGCATGTTGGATTTTACCTCGACCCATTTCTGCCTTGGAAAGAATGCTCGCCCATGGCGCACAACAGCATATTGTGGCATAGGCTGCAGTGGAGTAATCACCCCCAAGCTCCACCTCGGGCACTTCCACAGGAGAATCGATGACAAACGTTCTTTCGCGCGAACCTGGAAACATGGTCCTTGCCAGCAAATGAAAGATCCAGAAACCGGGGCATGGTCCGGCCACGAAGTCTTATCGATTGTAGCCTTGGTACAATAATGAATGAGCTTGGAGGTTTGGCAAAATGAAATATAGCATTCTTGCACTTGACTTGCGGGAGCACGCGTTCCCGCAAGAACCTCAAGTCCTGGACCTGAGTAACCTGCAGCATGGAGCCAGGCCGCCTGCGGTAGTGAGGAGGAAAGACATCCAACAGTTTCCTGCAAGCTGGCTGTGCCGACGCAGGGATGCCGGATGTGAACGCACTTTTTAGCTGCCTGCAGTATTGGCTTGAGCCAAAACCAAGTTGAAAACAGATCACTTAACTACCCTCACATCCAGTCATGCCTCGAATGAGGGTAGCTTTCAGCTATCTCATGAGTGGTGAGGGTTGCTTTAGGCTTTCAGAGACAGCTCGTGTCTCCCTTCTCTGGAATTGAAGCAAATTCGGCTCAAGAACTTCCGAATCGTCCCTGCGTCCAATGGGCATGTCACCAGTATTCACCTTCTTCAGGCGAATTCTTTGTCGGTCCACAAGGTCCTGGACCCATAGAAAGCAGGTGTCAATGTGCTTGACCTTTCCCAATCATCTCCGGCTTCCGATTGAGATGCCAGTCGTTGCATCCATGTTGACACATACTGGGCAGGTGATATTCCAATCCGCGAGCATAGCTTGCTCGCCCAAAGCAGCACTGGCCGTCGAAATGAGGCCATAGTACCCTGCTTCTCCAGATGAGAATGCAATGACAGCTTGCCCTTTCGCAGTTGCTTTGATCACAGACCGTCCGAGTTGGATGACCGTCCCGGTTGTGCTTTTACGTGTCCGAACACAACCTGCATGGTCAGTATCCAACCAGCATTGGATGATGCTAAAGCTTTCTTGGTTGGGTACCAGCTGAACCAGCCGTGGAACACCCTTTAAGTACCTTGCGGCACGCTTCAGCAAACTCCAATGAAAACGTGTAGGGGCCTTTAGTCCCTTCGCAAGTTCACGAACTGTGCGCAACATGTCCGGTCGATCCATGGATAGATATCCAATTCTCATTGCCACAGACCGATAATATCCCGCCTCCTGGTCCGTTAGAGGAACTTCCTCCTCATCACCTTTACTCTTCACCAGAGGTGTGGTGACAGGAGCGGCTCGTTCCAGTCCCAGCTGTTCCAAGACCAGTTCTACGTGCCTGGGATCTGCTTCGAGTTCTATCCCATGCTCGGTCCAAGAATCTATTGAGGACCGAGATCTTATGGCAGACATCTGGCAGACTCGAACCGGGTCGTGCCAGGATGCCTCGAACCTCTATGGTCCAAGCCTTCTTGAGTTCCTTAATGAGCCATTGAAGCTTGTCGTAGCTTCCCACTGGGGTGAAATCATCCCCGTGAACATTACAGCGCAATGAGAATTCATCATGGACATACAGGCAAGGGTTGGAGATTCCCTGCTTGAAACGTATAGACACTCCATGACATCCTTTATGGCATGTTCCCAGTTTGAAGGGGCGTCTCGCGTTCCGTAGAGGCTCCTTTTCAGCAGTCCGACTTTGGTCTTGTCCTCCCCAGCTTCAGGGGGTAGCTCCACCAGAAGTCTCCTTCTGACGGGGCTCCAGAAGCGTGCTTTCTTAACGTCTATGAACAGGACGCGCACTTCACCATCCTTGTCCATCCTGGTGAGCTTTCCAGCTTTGTCTGGCACTTTAAACGCTGTAGCCAAGGTAAACAGCGCTCGAAGGCTTGAGAGTGGTGGCATAGCAGCGAAGAAGTCGGTCCATGCGGCTTGGTCCTCGTTTCTTTGTAACCTTTCTCTCGCTTTAACTCTTGGGCCATCAAGCGGGAACGCAGTTTCATATGTAAGCCGTCACCTTTGTTGATGTTCAATCCACCGTGCGCCGATAGTCTTTTCCCCAGGAGGACGGGAATGACCTCACACACTCCCATGGTATTGATCGTTTCGGTCTCTTCCATGAGGGCTTGCTTGACACCTTTGGGTGGCAGTCGTTTGCCGGTGTTCTCGTCAGAGAACTTCTCCTCCCAGCTCGTCCTCTAAGTCGCAGGTAGGATGTGTCTTCCCTTGGACACTGGCAATGAAGTCTTCCCGCTCATGCGCAATGAGCTCTTCAATCATACCCTCAGTGCTCTCTGGAGCTTTCCGCTTCTGAGGTTCTGACCGCGCTTCGGTTGGTGGTACCTCAGCCCGTTGCTCGTCGCCTCCACCTTTGCTTTTCCTCTTTTGACCCGAGGGTGGCGCCGCTGAAGCAGCTACACTACATGGTCTAGAGGCACTTGACCCACCAGGGATCTTGCACCAATGGCCGTTGCCGTGCGATGGTTAAAGGCTTCGGTTGTGCCACTGAAGGCGCTGCCTTGGCCTTCGGTAAGCTCGCCTCCTGGCTGGTGCTGGCCTTTCTCCTTCTCTCATCTGATTCCCGGACCTTTTCAAAGAACTCCTGTTCTCGTTGACCTTCTCGATCAAGTCGGGCTTGTCCGGCAATTGTTTCCTTCATGGCGTCCGTGATGCGTTTGCGGCAATGCTCAGAATGGTTGATGCCTGCTCGGTCTCGACCTTCCCGAACGGCTGCGCAAGCGTCGCAACCGGCGGTGTACCCATGCGCATCTAATTCGGCTTGGCGAACGTAGCCACCTCAGGTCGAACCACTTCCCTGGCCGGCGGTGGCAAACCTTCAGTGACCTCTTGCCGTACTACCAAACGTTCTGGTAGCTTGGCACCTTCCCCAGTTTCCTCGGGTGAGGTCTTCCAGGGTAGGCCACGAATGGCTTTGACCAAGTCAGCATCCCACTGCTGGCCATCAGGTCTCCTCCTGATGCTTTGCACCACAAAGATTCCTCTGTTGGTCCCAACAATCTTTTCTGTGCTCTGAATGCGGATACCCAAAACACTCCTTGCCATCTTGCATCCAACTTGGACCGGGTGTTACATCGAAAGTCAATGGCTTCACCAAATAAGGCCTTCTCCCCTTCATCCTTTGGAATGGCGTCATCCCTTCATGGGATTCCTGGCTGAACAGGGTATGCAAGGTACCTGCATATTCAACCACCCAGGCTAGCACAGCAGATGTTGGCTCAATGGTGATTCCTTTCTCTTCCAGTCCAGCTTTGAAGGTCCTGACCATCCCTTGGACTGTCTGGACTGACCTTTCAGCTTCACTATTGCTTTGACCATGGGAGTCTCCCTTTGGAGATTCTTCAGGAACAACTTCCCCACTGAAACCATTCCTGACTGCCACAGCTAAAGCTTTGATGGCAGGCTCCTGGTCATTCTTGAGAACCAACTTCTTGTAGCCAAGAAACGTGAGACCCACGAGAATGGCACGCTCTGGGTGTGTCGACCCAGTCGTCCCTTTACAGGGTAGCAGGTGTGAGAAGATTGCCTTGGAATGCCTGTCCCTGAGGACAACAGTGAGCAATCCTGAGCCATCAGATCTTTCATTGAAGTACACATAATCCATACTCACAACTGGAACTGTTGACTCTTGAGTTGAGGCCTTGTGTTGAAAGGCTCGTCCTCTGCCAGCAACACAAGCTCTACACCAACTCCTGTAGGGCAGATGGGATACCTCATGAGCAGCAATCATTTCAGGTGTTGGCCGGTCAGGTCTAAACAGTGGCTGGGCCGGTTGCCCATCCTCCTGATCCTCAGGTGGAAGGGGCGCAGCTGAAGCAGCTTCATCCCTTTGTTGTCCACCTTCCACCGCTTCCCCAAAATAAAGCCTTCCTGAAATGGCATTTTGCTTTGATATCAATTTCACCTTTGAGAAATTTGCTGAAGCTGCATCTTTACTTGTGATCTTCTTATTTTCTGCATTGGGCTCATCTTCTTCTTCACCTTCACCTTCCTCCTCACTTTCTGATCCTATGAAAAAACGGTCGGGACAACTAGCTACAGGCGGGGGGCTAGTTAGGTGAAAGACTTTGTCTTTTCTAACCGCGCCAAATTGGCCGGTCTGTGAAACTGATGAATTCCTAAACTGTACACAGCTAGGCTCTCCTACAGCTACAGCAAGTTCAGTAGCTGAAACGCTTTCAGGCTTGTGGTCCTTAGGTCTTACCTGCCTTCCTCCACGCAGCGCCGTGGGAAATCCTTAAAGAAGAACGTCGCCTTCGGCGATCCATTGATCTTGAACACAAGGGCCTTCTTGGCGTCGTCGCCCTTCACATGGATCACGGCCTTCGATCCCTTCAGGATGGCCGTGTGGCCCAACTTGAGCACCTGAATGGCGCTCAGCAGGGCTCGCTGCGCAGAGGCCACGCAAAAGCAAACTTTGAAGGACAATCCTTCATCGGATCTCAAAGCAATCTCAGCTGTTCTCAAATTGGGAATCCAGGTTCCATCAGCCGTCCGGAACCCTGCTAAGCCTTGCACCGGACCCCACTGCATATTCTTCACACACTCCTTAGGGATCACGTTGTGGCTGGCACCGCTGTCCAGGATCACCTGATGGTGGCCGCCGATGCGGAACAGCCTCCTTGGCTCCTTCGCCACCTCCTGGGGGTCTCCTTGGCCCTTTTCCCAGTGGTCGGTGGCCTGGGTCGGAGTTGTCGGTATCATCATACCCGCCGCGAGGATCTCAATTCTAGCAAGGGCAACCTTCCTCTTCTTATAGTACAGGTCCGCCGGGTGCCTTGTCTTCTTACGCCGGCTCTGGCAGGATCCACAGTCACTATCGTCGTCAAGGGCTCGTGCGGGGAACCATTCCCAGCAACTTCTTTCGCACCCCCACTCTTTCCCGGTAGCACGGCGCAGTCTTAAACTGCTTTACCAGGGGCGCACTCCCCTCAAGTAGTTCACAATTTCTTTCTGGAAGAGCTGGCTCTTCCGGTCCACTGCTGGCTTGCCTCTAGGTTCTTTCGGCTTTCGCGCCAGGGCGCTGTTGCCAGTGCCTTCTGAACCCTATTCCTCTGCCTCTCAGTGAGCATAAGGAACACACGGCGCACCACCCTGCTTCTTTAGGTGGCGCCCCTCGGGCTCAGCTGGCTTATTCTGGCCCATTGGCACAGACTCAGGGTCTTTACCCTTGGCCGCCTTGCCCTTGCCCTTCCTCTTGGGCTTCCGCTTCGGGGATCTTGGTGGAGTCTGGGGTTTGGTATGGGCCGAGCCGGCTCAGTACCATCACCCTCATCCTCATCTCAATCTCTTCTCCCCTTTCTTTTCTCTTTTCCGTGGCCCGTCTGGCCTTTCCCCTCACTTCTCTCTGACCCGGCCTTCTGGAGTCATCCTGCAAAACTTCGGTTCCAGAAAACTCGCGGTCCTCGGCCTTTCCTTTCACCATCGCTTTCTCCTTCCGGGATGGAGGAGCTGCAGTCTTGGATCCCGCGCCGGGGATAAGGAGGTACTGGTCTTGTTTTCGGGCCTTCTCAGGTACGTTGAACCTTTCCAGGGCCTCTTCACGGCTAAGCCTTTTCTTGGCTTGCTCGGCTCTCATACTCAGCCGATGCTTGGCCGCTCTCTGACGGCTCTTTTCCTTTTGCACAGCCAGTCGAGGATTGCGGCCGGCATCCAAATCGGCCTTCAACCTTGCCGACATCCTCTTGTTCTGGCTTGCCTTAAGCTCTTGGGCTTTAATCTGATCCTCAACTTGGCCCAGCATGAGGTTCAGCATCTCCCTTGGCCCTTACCTCTTCAAGCTTCTGCACCAGCTCGCGGCGCGTCTCCTGAAGCTTGTTGAGGAGACTCATATCTGCCATCCGCAAGCCGGTGGCAGTTGAACTGGCCGTGCCGACCTTTGCCTTGCGCTTTGGCTTCGGCATTGGGTCCGTTGACTCACTCCCTGGTGTGTCGCGAGGCGCGTCATCACCATCGTCCTCGTCGTCTCCGTAGTCGGCTTCCTCTTCGCTGTCCAGGACCCCAATGAAGCCAAGCTCGGCTTGATCTTGCTCGCCCTCAGCGGGGTAGTTCTCTTCACCATTGCCTTCGGCCATGGCGTCACCCTCGGCACCCTCAAGCTCGTGGGCTCGCCCTGTGGCTTGCCCTTTCCTAGCCTTACCGCTACCTTTGCTACCTTGAGCCTTAGTGCCTTTGGGGTTGTTACCTTTACCACTGTACCAACAATCTTGCGCTAGATGCCCTCTACGCTGACAAATAAAACACTGTCGGGTCTCCCTGGCCTTTCCTCCCTGATCCTTCTGACCTTTCTTTCCTTTGCCTTTGGGACCCTTCTTCCCTTTCATCTCATCAACGTCCATGGGCACAGCACCGTCCGTTGCTGTGAAAGCGTGCTTGGTCTCGGTAAAAGACACCATCTCCCTTCTGAGAAGCTCATACGACGTGAGTCGTCCCAGATTCAACTCTAGATGCCCCTGGAGTTCAGCAGGAGCAAGTCCCAACAGGGATACCATTTGTTGTTGTTTCTTGAGGGGCTCACAACCTTTACGCTGGCCATATTTTTTTGTGTGGGCATTCTCCCACTTTCATATTGCTGGAACTAAGTCAGCAATGGAGTCCACCGGCTGGGTCCTCATGAGGCTCCGAAGCCACCGCATCGATGTGACCATATCGCTCGGGTCGAGCCTCATGTACAGCCTGCGATACATATCCAGTCCAGATCCAATGGAGCTATTCATGGTTATATCGCCAGGCGCTTCCACGGTTAGCGTCCCTAGCACCACTTCGAGTTGCCGATTGAATTCAAGAAGAGCTTCCCTTGGTCACGCCTGTTATCGAAGTCGACTCCAAGCTGACCAAAGGAATCTCATTCTCACCCTTGTCACGGGCCCATCCTAGGATACGCCTTG